GCGCCCATGAGCGTGCTCAGTGCTAATGAGCACTCGGGACTTTCCAGAGGGACTTCTTGAAGGCTAGCACTTCCCTGCTTGCAGGCTGCTGTCCTGACTTCCGACAAGAGGGCAGGGAACAAGTCGCATCTACGCTATGCCCTCTGTTGCCCCGAGAAAGGACCTGTGTGGACGTCATTGCACATTCACTACGGGCGGCTCTGTCTCCACTCCGGTTCTCTCTGAGCCCTGCGTCTCCCGCCTTGCAGAAGTGCAGCCGCAGCTGGTGTCTCCTTGGCTCTCCTCACGAGGCTAATACCCTCCATGTCGCTTGAGGCAAAGGGAGTATGAAAAGTTGTACAGGCAGACCCGTAACAACAACAGCAACAGGAAGTGTGATCATTACGACATGCACCTTATGCTGAAATGTGGGAGGCAGAGGCTGGCCTCTCTGGGTCCACCACTGCTGTGATATTCTAGGCTGGGCACAGGCTGCTTTTAGTCCAGAAAAGGTAACAGAAGGTGTGATTGAGAGAAATCCAGAAATGTGGAAACGAACTCATGCCCGGGTCTGCATGAAGCAGAACCGCGGTGGAGGGAGGAGAGAAGAGCTGAATGTCAGGAGCTCTGACCACCCCTTGGCCCCCAGTGGAGACTCCTGGGCAGAAGCAAGTCAGCACAGCTGGTGGGGGGGGGGGGGGGGGTTCAGGGGGCGGGGGGCATCGGTCTCTGGGATTTGGAGGGACTGGAGCTGTCAGGAATGGAGTGTGCGCCTGGGATCAGGCCAGCCAAGGAGGGATGGATCCCTCCAGACAGCTTGGGGCTCAGACCCGAGACCCACAGGCCACTTCACGCCCGGGGTGAGCTCACTCCCCTGCGTGGTGCTGGCCAGCGGGAGCTCTCCGCCCAGATCACAAGTTCTCTCCACGCCAGCCGTGGGAGGTGCTGCCAGGGGCCTTGTGCAAGTCCCACCTCAATTCAGAAAACCCTGCGTTACAGGGGCACTTGATCTGGTAAGCCCGGGCCCTCCCTCCGGGAGCTCTGGGGAGCTGGCCCATCTGGAGAGCTGGCCCGCATTTCTGGTCCACCCTGGCTGACAGCCATGGCTCTCAAACTTAATTCCTCATTTTAATTACCTGAGAATGTCTTGAGCTAAGGTCGCCCTCCAGAGCTACGAAATGATGATTTCCGCATGGGGCCTGAGTATCGGCCAGCTTCCAAACTTCGCCAGGCGACTCTAAGGCTCAGGGAAAAATTAGAGTACAGCCCTGCTACTCAAAGTGTGGTCTGCGACCGGCAGCACCGGCAGCGCCCCGGCCTAATAGAAATGCAGGTTCCCAGGCCCCACCCAGCCCTGCGGACTCCAGCTCTGTGGAGTCCACAAGGTCTTCAAAGAGATTTAGTTGCACATTAAAGCTTGATAAGTACCGGATGGGATGCCCTTTAATGGGGCCTAATGGGGCTTGCTGATTGCAATTAGCTGCATAAGCAGAGAAACCATGAGTGATGTAGCGATAATGACCTTGGGGGTGGGGGCGGGGCATGCCAAGAGCACCACCAGGAAAAGCCATTAAAGAGGCTTAAAGAAACTGAAAGTTGCCTCTGGACCGTTGGGCTTGCACAGGTGGATTTTCACACTGTCACACACCTTCCCGCCAGAGCCCCACGCGGTTGAGGGTTGTTATCTGTTTGTGATGAAAGCTCAGTATGCGGCAAGAGGGGTCTGAGTGCATCCTGCTTATTAATTTAATCCCAAGGGCCACCCACACTGCGGACGCAAATTCCCATAATGCAGAAGCGCAGAGAGGCTGAACACCTGCCCCGTGGCCACCGAGCGATTCAGGGGCAGAGGCAGGGTTTCGTCGTGTTCGTAGTTGTGGGTCTGTCTGTCTCCTGTCACCAAAAGTCAGGTTTCTATTATAATCAGCCTTGAGGAAGAGGAGTAAAGACCAAGGGCGTCAAGCAGAAACTGCCCAGAAGCAGCACCGTGTGTGTGGGCGGGGGTGGTTCAACATCAAACCCACTTTTCTTCACTCCTATTTGGAGCCAGGGAGCACCCTGCCCCTCCTCCCTCCCACATCACCCTCTAGGGCTGACAGGGACCAGCTGGGAATACCTCCTGGGGACACCATCCCCAACCGCAGCCCTGCCCGACAGCCTCCTGTCCGGAGATAAGCACATCAAAGCAGCCTGAAGAGAACAAGGTTAAGACCCTCACCCTATTCCCCCAAAGAATCAGAAGCATCAACACCTTTCAGCCAGGGGGTCAGAACTGAAGCTTTATTTCAATCGGTTTCTTTATTTTCAGAACGCCACTGGCAACTAGAAACAGGTATGCGCGTGTGGTTTTTATAAGTGAAGAGTAAATAAAATAGAAGGGATAATGGAATTGTAACAATAAATTCACCTTGAATATAAATATACACATCGATGCCCCACACGTATAAAAGTCATGCTCTGTAAATACTCTGTCCACGACGGTCTCTGCGGGGGCCCGGAGTTCTACGATGGCGCTTCGAGGGTTCACACTTGTCCTGTTAGTTACGGACGTTTCCAGAAAGCTGATGCGGGGGCAACATATTACCGATCTCGAAAAGGAAACTAAGTATCACAGAGCAGTTCTTAAAATGTTGAGTGGTTGTTTGTTCTACAAAGAATGAGCATGTCTTAAATATTAGAAATGGTGAAACAAATGTACTAGCTTACAGATATGTACAATGTACTACTTTATACTTCAAAAATGCAGGAAGATAAATTATATATATATAAAATATATATATAATTTTAGATCCAATGAACAATTCAATATTGCTCTTGTGTTGGTCTGGCTGTATTGCATGCATGCTCAGGGCACGCCCATGGCTTACACCAGGTGAGGAGGTACTGGTAAGAACAGGCAGGACTCAGGGAACCCCCATGATGATCCCCGGAACGCCAGCGCCAAAGCAATATTTGGAGTTTGGTGACGTGCCGTGGCTAGGTCGGAAACTTCTGTGCCCATGTGTAGCTGAGGACGGGTCTTCCAGAAGCACGCCGCACACTCAGGATGGGGCCACGTGCGTGCTAAACACACCTGACTCGGTGGAACGAAGCCCTCGCGCCTGAGACAGCTGGGGATCTCCTCAGAGACTATTGTGAGACAGCCCTCGAGCCCTCCCTGCGGTTCGTACAAAATGACGTTGGAACGGTGACCCGTGCCTGCGGCGTCCACAGCCTCCTATACACCCACGGGCAAAATTCATCCTGAACGCAGCCCAGTGTTCAACCATGAACAGCTTCTCCCGCGGACGAAGCTTCACACGCTTTAAAGGCAGACAGTGAGCAGAGAGGGACGGGAATTCTGACTTGATCCGCAGGAACGGGTCGGTCGGCGGGGGGCCTCCGGGGCCTGGCGGCCTGGGGCCCACCCTAGCCCCCCATTGTGGCCACGGAGCCCTGTTTCGTCTTCCACTTACCCCATTTCCAAATTACAAATTGAAAACATCTCTCTGAGAATAGAAGTAGAAAAACAATAGGGAGAGGTTGACAAATAAATGTTCCAGAAAACTGGCCAACTTGGTGTCGCCGTGAAGCTGCAGGAGGGAGCATCCATCAGGACCTGAGGCGGCCTGAGGTCTGGCTCCCTGACCCTCCACACCTTCCCTGCTCAGCACGGCTCCAGGAGGCCAAGACGGGGGCCGCGGGGGGGGGGGGGGGGGAGGCAGCTGACAGCACACACGGCACGCACCACGAACGGGGCACAGAGGATGTGTGGCCACAAGGGCCTTCAACCAGAAAGGGCCGACGGAGGGGATGCTGAGCGCAGAGCTGCTGCTGCGGGCGCCCTGCCCACAGACGCCATGGGGACACAGCAGGCACAGGACAGAGTAGCAAACCCAATGGGGTAACGGGGTGCGTGCAGACATCCCCCACCGGACAACTCTGCCCGACAGCGGGAGGGGGGGGGGCGCCCCGGCTCCAGCCCAGCCAGGCAGTAATGCCGGAAGGACAGTTCTGGAGTCCGGGCCAGTGTGAGCTATGCCGACTAGAACAAACAAGAGGACTCACGGGCTCTGGCAGTCGGAACTTTCTGGAAGCGGAGCCAAACCGGACTCGACAGAGGCTCAGCCGTTAAGCTGAGGGGGCTCTGCCCTGCCCGGGACAGAGCGGCCCGCCCGCCTCTGGCCACCACCGTGCAGTCTCCAGGCCGGCGTGCAGGAGCCGGCAGAGGCCGTGAGTTTGGTCTGGAGGATTGAGGAAGCGCACAAGGTCGTTAGGAGGAGAAGATAACGGATTCCAGAGCGAACTCCACATTGAACAGCTCTTAGAGGCCGTGTGCAATGGAGCATGCAAGAGAAGCTCCCAGGCCTGGAGCCCATCTTCCAGGAGTCTACTTCGGTCCCAGACAGACCGTCAAAACCACAGAGGACAACCGCTCTTTCAAAGCATTTCACTGCGGAGCTAACGTATGGCGCAGACAGAGCTCCGTGTCATTTCGAGAAGTGCACGTGCTTTCTGTCTCAGGGAGGCCTTTGCTGGCTTTGCTGGCGCCCGGCTGAATACAGATCGAGTCACTGAGAAGGAGGAAAGCCATCTTGGAGACACAAAGAACGGCCTAAAAAGAGCTACTTTCATTCCATTTATTTAAAATCTGAGGGACTGTCCCTCTCGTGGGTCAAGGGAAGGAAACCACATTTCTAAAGCCCTCGACGAATGACTTTCGTGAGATGCTCTAATGTCGCCGTCTCCTCGCTGGCACACTGAGGGGCCAAGCAGGCTGCCCCTGCGTGAACTCATCTGTCACTGCACGCGAAATAACTAAAGGGACGCCTGCTGACCACGTCCCGGTGAGGTGAGTGCACCCCTCAGAGCGCTGGGCTCACGAGCCAGCTGGGAGTCGGCAGGGAGGGCGCTCTGGGGGACGCTGTGTCGTTCGACGTTCAACTCAGCTACAGATCCGTGAAATGGAACAACGTGGGCCTGGTGTCCTTGACCCCCTGCCTGCCCTCCCCCCACCCCCACCCCCCGGCCCAGACTGGGCTGTAGCTCCAGGGTCACATGCTCTCACAAGCATGCAAATGGGTCCTAGTCTTGCACTCAGATTGCTCCCGCGGGTGAGAGCCCAGTGGGCCTCCCCACCCCCTGCACAGGGCAGACCCGCCTTCAGAGACGCCCAGCCCCCCCACCAGGTGCCCTGGGGTGCAGGGTGCATGGGTTCCCATTTCAGCTGCTGGGCGGAATCCCCGATTCTGCAGAGGGGGTGCTTACGGGCGGTGGCGTGAAGTGCCCTCTCAGGGACAACGGGGCACGTCTCTGTCAAAATGCGCTAGCGAACACGTGGGCATCGCACATGCTGCCCTGACGACGGGGGGTCGCGTGGGAAGGGGATGGGGGCGGGGCGGGGGCACGGGCCCCTGCTGCCCGCACGGGAGGGCCTCACATGACCACGCATTTGCCTTTGAGCTTCTCCTTCCTTTTCTGCTGCTTGCTCTTCTTCCCGTCGATCTGGAGGCTCACGGTCCTGCGTTTCTCCAAGTTGAGCAGCTCCTGGAAGAGCTCCTTCACATTGTGGTTGAGCTTGGCCGAGGTCTCCATGAAGGCACACTTCCACCTGCGGGCCAGGGCCTCGGCCTCGCCGCTCTCCACCTCGCGGCTGGGGCTCTCGTCACACTTGTTGCCCACGAGCATGATGGGGATGCTCTCCACGTCCCCCTTGATCTCGCAGATCTGCTCGTAGATGGGCTTGAGCTCCTCCAGCGACTGCCGGCTGGTGATGGAGTACACCAGGATGAAGGCGTGGCCCTTGGAGATGGACAGCCGCTGCATGGCGGGGAACTGGTGGCTGCCCGTGGTGTCCGTGATCTGCAGTGTGCAGATGCTCTTGTCGCAGCTGATCACCTGCCGGTAGGTGTCCTCCACCGTGGGGATGTAGCTCTCCCGGAACGTGCCTTTCACAAACCTCAAGACCAGCGAGCTCTTGCCAACGCCACCTGCCCCGAACACGGCCACCCGGTAATCGTTGCTCTGTTCCGGCATGTTGCTCGACACCCCGGCTCGCAACCAGGAAGCACCTGGCAAAGGAACCAGACGTGCGAGAGAATCGGTTTGAAAAAAGGAAGAACGAGAGTCTCAAAAAGGATTGCTTTACCCTCTCCTAAAGAACTTAAGTTCTGGACGAACTTTAAGCTTAAAAAGAACCGAAGTGATAAATTCTGTTTTCGCTGTCCCAACGTGAGAAAATTTGAATTTCATTTAAAAATTCTAGGGTTGCTTGGGCGGCTCAGTCGGTTAAGCATCTCACTCAAACCCCCAGTTGGTGGGTTCGAGCCCCGCGTCGGGCTCTGTGCTGACAGCTCAGAGTCTGGAGCTGCTTCGAATTCTGTGTCTCCCTCTCTCTCTGCCCCTCTCCCACTCATGCTCTGTCTCTCTCAGAAATAAATAAACATTAAAAATTTTTTAAATTCTAAAACAATTCTATAATTCTAAATCCAGTAATTATGGTCAGTCTCCAGTTTCCAATAAGGCAGCCACCTATTCAGCAGCTAACTGGACTCAGTCTGTTTCTCCTCCTCGGACCATGATTCTGAGCATCCCCGTGCCTGAGGAAAAGACGCCAGTTCAGCTCAAGGGAGAGGGAATCAAGGAAGGGTAAAGGGCAGTGGGAAATCAATCACCTTCCCAACACCACAATCACACACACACACACACACACACACACAACCACACAATCACACATGCACACAGTCACACACACGGAATCACATACACATAATCACACACACAATCATACACTCACACACACACACACACACACACACACACAGTCACAGAGTATCCTTATTGTTTTACCCAAAGTACTACGAGCACCCAATATTTAAGTCATAAAATATGTGGCTTTTTGTAAGTGCAAGGAGGAGAGCAAGGGGAGGAGAAGGCTAGTCATTTTTATTCAATACTTATAGTACCTCACGAAATCCTCAGCACCCAGAAGAAGTGGCGTCCCTGTCCCTGTCATGCACTGGAAACACAGATGGCATCAGGGAATGTAGCGCCCCTGACTTCACACAGCTGGTGGCAGGGGAGGCTGGGAGGCACACCAGGTACCAGCTGGCCGCAGTGGCTTGGGCACTACTGAGGCCCTGGTGTGGACTGTCATTGAGCAGCTAGACCTGATGGGTAACTAAGAAGTTTGGAGGGTTCTTTCATCCAAATCAAATTTCAATCAAAATGAAAATGATTACAGGTGCTTTATTTTCAACCATTCGCAAGAGTCAAGTGCTACCAAGATAACAGAAGAAATAACCACAGGTGGTTGTCACAGTAGAATGAACTGGGGTTTCCCTTCCTTACAAACATCACCCCCAGCCCAAGGGGTAAACGTGCCGTCCTCACATGTAGATGATCAAATATCTCATCCTGTTCCTTCTTTGGTAATGAAGGACATATAACACACAAAAAAGTAGGGAATTAAGCAATATCGATTTTTTAACCCATTTTCTCCAGGAAGCCATCATGCTAGCTTTTCCCATCTTAGAGTGACTCAGGACCATAGTAAAAGGTGCTGTACAACAAAGGCGTCTTCAGATGATTGAACGTAATTAGCTACGGAAGCAGATGGGTGTGTGCAGTAACTGTGTCCCCCGGCAGACAAGGTGTGATCAAAGCCCGGGCATTCCCTCTTCAGATTTCTCTCTGGCTTCCGCGTGCGTGTTTGCCTCCAAATCTGTTCAATTAAATATTCAGCCGTTCTTGTGTGCACTGCGGAATCCCTAACCCACCGAGAAGCTGAGAAAACATCAAATGCCCAAAGAAAATACAGCAAGATGTCAGGTAGTTGATTAATGCAAAAGGCTTCAGGAAATCCTGCCTTGGAGTTCGGTCTGTCTGGTAAATGCTTGTGAGATCATCATGATCACCTCAAGAGTGTAATAAATCGCTCTACATTTTTAAAAATGCAATGGCTTTTGGGATCTGGCTTGAAGCTTCCCTGCACTCTCAGAACAAGCCTCTCTTTGTGCTCAAAAGATGGTATCTGTGCTCAACCTCAGCTCGTATTATGGGTATTTAGCTCCAGCGTGGAGTGAAAGCATCTACCTGGAAGGGAACGTGTCTTCACCAGCTCTACATCCTGAGATCTCTGTAGGAGCCCCTGGTCGTGAGCTCACACTCATCCCGCGTGTGGTGAATATGTTGTTGGCTGTGCTGAGGTGTCTCCGTTATTCAACTGGCAACCAAAATATAGACAGCCGACACTGAATGTGGCCAGGGGGACTTTCCAGCCACGGCCCGTCCCCTGTCCAACAGCACCTATTGAACTTCCTCTACAGACCGGGCCCTGGGGGAGGGGCCGGGAAACGCATGCCCAGAGGACAGACCTGAGGCGGGCCCTGCGCTCCTGGATCTGAGGATGAAGTGAAGAAATGAAAAGATGACTTGACACATATTTGATGAATTACATCAAATTTGGCAGCGCTGCCAAAGAGAGGTCTGAGGGAACCGACTCTAACCTGTGATTCCAAGAATGACTTTGCTAAGAAGTCTGGGAGCGGGACCCCAAAAGATACACAGGAGACAGGCAGGCAAAAAGATAGAAAGGTTGGGGCGCCTGGGCGGCTCAGTCGGTTAAGCGTCTGACTCTTGACTTTGGTTCAGGTCATGATTTCACAGTTTGTGAGTTCCAGCCCTGCGTCAGGCTCCACACGGATGTTGCAGAGCCTGCTTGGGATTCTCTCTCTCTGCCCCTCCCCTGCTCTCTCTCTCTCTCTCCCCAAATACATTTTTAACAAATGGTATAAAGGTCACTGTTTTATAAGCATTAAAAAAAAACCCTCTAGATAATATGCAGACTTAGCGCTTACCCAACAGAAGCTCCCGGCATCAGAAGACGGACAGGCACAGGCAATCCCATACCCTGCGTGGTAGCTGCCATGGGAAAGTCATAAACAAAGGCCGGAAGAGAGCCTGGTGGGGCGTCCAGCTCTGGGCGGGGCCCTCAGGAGAGACTTCACAGAAGGCAGCGTGAAGGTGTGAGGGGGGAAAGGGCAGGTCACCCAGGGGACACGGTCCCTTGCAGACGTACAAGGGCGGGAATAGCGCCCAGAGCGGACACAGCGCCGGGGCAGAAAGCGGACGTGCAGTGACAGCTGGGGCAGAGCTGGCTGCGCAGCAGAGCAGCGGCATCATCAGTCAAGATACAGGCCAAGGAGACAAGTAGGTTTAGAGAAGCTGAGCAGGACGCAGCTGGTCCGGGTCAGGTTTGCAGGGTAAACAGGTACAGATGTGATCTGGTAGGTGACGGGGCTGCGGTCTGAAAACTCGGCAGGGAGGTCCAGTCTCGGGATAAGGATGTGGGCTTCATCCACATAAAAATAGCACAATAATACGTAAAACTCAGCCAGGGGAAGACATATAGCAAGAGAGAAGACCAAACTCCAAATGTGAACAAGAGAGCCTGGCAAGTTATCTACTTCCACTTTCTGCGCCTGAGTTGCCCGCACCAGAAAATGGAGACGCAACACCACCTTCTTCACAGAGCTGCTCTGGGGTGTTTGTGACACAAGCACCAACACTCAGCCCAGGGAGGGGGGTGGGCAGGCTCTCTAGCTGTTTAGTAAGGACTAGGCGGAAAAGGAGGTCACAAAGGAGCGGCAGCAACAAGAGGAAAAACTGAAAAGAAGGTAGCAAAATGCCAAGAAAGCAAAAAAAAAAAAAAAGTCAAGAAATCATGGAGGAGACGGAAACTATAGCTGTACACCTACATTAAATGAGAACAAAGATCTCAGATCTCCCATCTTATAAGAGCCAAGTAAATCCAAAGGATGAAAAATGCAGGAAATCTTAGATTACAGTGGAAGTTAGTCGAAGAATAGAAAAACAGGGGCGCCTGGGTAGCTCAGTCAGTTGAGCATCTGACTTCAGCTCAGGTCGTGATCTCGTGGGTTCAAGGCCCGCATCGGGCTCTGTGATGACAGCTGGCTCAGAGCCTAGAGCCTGTTTTGGATTCTGTGTCTCCCTCTCTCTCTGATCCTCCCCTGCTCATGCTGTCTCTCCCTCTCTCAGAAATAAATAAGCCATTACAAATTTTTTTAAAAAGAATAGAAAAGCAATAGAGAAAAATCAATAAACCCAAAAGTTGTTTTTTTTTTTCAAAATATCCATAAAATTAACAAACTTTTTGCTGGACTGACCAAAGAAGCAATAAAACGCAAATCGCTAAAATCAGAAGTGGCAGAGGAGACATCACTACTGAGTTCTCACGGCTCTTGTGACCACGTGCACAGAAATATGCTACATACCTCAGATGACACAGACCCAAACTATCAAAGCCGAATCAAGCAGAAATCGAAAATCCAAAATGGCCTACATAGCAAGACAGTAGTCAACAAACAAACAAACAAACAAACATCCACAAGGAAAGCCAGATGCAGATAGCTTCACTGGTGAATTCTGGCAAGCGTTCAAAGGATTACTACCAATCCTTCACAGGCTCTTTCAAAAAGCTGAATAGCAGGGTACATCTGTCACTCTCTCTGAGGCTAAAATTACCCTGATACCAGCTTAGACACAGAGATACAACAGGAAAACTACAGAGCGGTATCTCTTATGAACAAATACAAAATCCTCAGTGAAGACTAGCAAACTGAACCCGCCAATATACCCTAAGAATTATACATCATAACCAAGAAGGATTCATGCCAGGCATGCAAAGTCGGTTTAATATCCAAACAGTAATATAACATACCATGTCAATAAAAGATTTAAAAAATGACAAGCTCAGTAGGCACAACAAAGAAAAAAATGGACAAAATTCAGCACTCAAGCATGATTAAAAAAAATAAAAGCGAATCAGGAACAAAAGGGAACTTCTTCAGCCAGAAGAAGAGGGAATTATGAAACACTGCAGCTAAGACAATACTTAATGATGAAAGGCTATTTTCTCACTACAATCAGGAAAAAGACCAAGTTTCCACCCTTGCAACTTCTATTTGCCATTTTACTGAAGGTTTTAACTAGAAGAATAAGTCAAGAACGTGAAATAAAAGGCATCCAGATTGGAAGGGAAGAAATGAAACTATTTATTGCAGGAGGCATAACCTTGTATTTAGAAACTTTTAAGGAAACTTCCAAAAAAAAGAACTAATAAACTACTTCTAAAAGATTTCAAATATCCGTATAAAAATCAACTGTATATCTACACACTTGCAAAGAATAATCTAAAAACAAAATTAAAAAACCAATTCCATTTACAATATCATCAAAAAGCATAAGATACTTAGGACTAAAATTAATAAGGAGGCATAAACATTATACTCTGAAAATTAAAAAATATTGCTGAAAGACACTGAAAACCTAAATAAGTGGAAAGGCACCCACGTTTATGTATCAGAGGACCTAATTTTGTTAAAATAGCAATTTCCCCAAATCAACCACAGATTCAGTACAGTCTCTACAAAAATTCCAATTGGCTTTACAGAAATCAACAGGCTGATTCCAAAGTTCACCTGAAAATCAAAGGCCCAGAATAGTGAAACAACGGTGAATTTACAAAGAAAGAAAGGAAGGGACGGAGGAAGGGAAGGAAAGGACGGGAGGGAAGGGGTTAGGCGGGAGACGGAAGGCAGGAAGGACGGGAGGGAGGGACTGAACGAAGGAAGGGTGTTGGAGAACATACTTCCTGATTTCAAGCTCACTGGGAGGAGCAGAAAGGCACTACACGATGACATGGTCTAGATTCCGAAACGGATTCACAGATAGAGAGGAACAGGTCCAGAGCCTCCAGTGTGAGCAATAACGTGTTATAGTAACGGGCTCGGCTTTATCCCTAATAGCCAGGTGATGGGAACGGCCCACATATTCACGGTAGAAAAGGAACATTCATACCATAAAAGCCCTGCATTGGATTAATATATCCCCATGATAAGAAAAAAGTGATACTAAGAATGGTACATGCAACAGTCCATCTTCACGCAGCTGCTGGTTACGGACGAGTTACACGGTGGTCGTCCAGATTGTTCGGAATGAGTTTATTCTTTCAAAATTATCACGGAAATGAAATACCAAACATTTTAAAATTTCATTTAAAAGCCAGGAAACCTAATACTATTGATTCTTGGATCCAAGTTAAAGGGAGGCATCCTTGGAGATGGAGCGTGGTAGCTTTGATTTGGGGGCTGTAGGAGGTGAACGAAGTCGGACAAACTTCCGGTTAACTGGTATGTCCCGGGCTACGGAGGGAGTCAGGCATCTTGCAGTGCGTGTGGGAGCGATGACAACTGAGGGGATGGCCAGAAAGACCAGATGCGGGGATGTCTCTTGAGGGAAATTGAGGGCTTAAGGAAAGAGGAAGGGACAATCAGCCAAGGTGCTGTGGGGGAGGGCTGTGTGTAGAGATCGACTGTGCATGTTCAACATAGCAAACCTGGAAGAAGGCAGGAGCCATCGAGATCCAGGAAGCACACAGGGTGATGGGTCTTCACGGACCCGCCCAGACCACCCCCCACCACCTGTCATGTCTCAGCCTAGCGCTTTGAAATGAAAATGAGAAGGGAAGGGACATAATGCATATACTTGGTTAAAAAGATAAAAGAGATTGTAAATCACTCTTCCACACAGAGCCCCCTTCTTTCCTTTGACAGCCTCTTTCCAGAAACAACCGCTGTTAAAAGGAATGGAAATTCAGTGATCACTCCCTGGTGTTCACCATGAGAATTTTAAGCAATGCACTCAATGCCTGAAGTATAAAACTTCAATGTCTTGATGTATCGACCAACGTTGGACCATATCGTTCTCTGAAATTAGCACACCACCTTCCTCCATCGCCTGATTTTTGTCAGTTACACTCTATTTTTAAAGTACATGCCGGTATTTCAGTTTTCCAGATATAACATTTACAATTTGTTCCAAAATTTATATTCAGTCTTCTGTGCTTGCCTGCAGGTTGTTTCTAAACCGTATCAGGAAACAACCTATGAAAAGTGTTTTGTAAAGATTCTTCAATGCAGAAGTAGACAGTAGGCCTGAACCCACTGAAGGGAAAGCCGTTGGCAATCAGACTTTGCTGGCACATAATTTTCTGTGTCCACATCATTGGGGTCTTAGGTTGGGTTGGGGTTTTTCCCCATAGTTTTTTGTCTGTGTGTTTTTGTACCTAGTGTTTATTCATTTTAGAGACAGAGGGTAAGTTGGGGAGGGGCAGAGAGAGAGGGAGACACAGAATCTGAAGCAGCTCCAGGCTCCGAGCTGTCAGCACAGAGCCCGATGCGGGGTTCGAACCCATGAACTGTGAGATCATGACCTGAGCTGAAGTTGGACGCTTAACCGACTGAGCCACCCAGGTGTCCCTAGTTGCCAATTTTTCTATTTCAATTTATTATCACCTTGTTTGGATCCATTCTATGTCTTGGTATGAACATCACTGATAAATTCTTTTAGACGACATTAAAACTTTTGAGTCCATGCCCTTTTCCCATGATTGATGCAATCCTGCAGCCTAACTAAGTTCAAAATATTTTCTCCACAGAATTTAAGGACTATTTATTTTTCAACTCGATCATCACCAGGGATATTGATGTGAAATCAAAGGCAGTATGATACCCTTTCCTCTGTAGGGAACTTGGGATTTTCCCTTCTCTTTGGCAGGGTGAGGATTTCTCTTTATACTGAGAGTTATGCCATCTCACCAGGATATATCTAGAACTGCTTTTTAATTACGTGTTTTTGGGAGTTTGGTGGTGGATTTAAAATCCAATCATTTCTGCAGCCTGGGGAAATTTTTTTTTTTTTTTTCTATTTTTAAGAAGTACATCATCCTAATCCCTCTACTTCTCTCTTTCCGGAACTCTTACCAGGTGATGGCCCAAGTGTACCTATTCTTCATTGCTCTAGAAGCTTTTTCCTTATATTTTCGATCCCCTTTCTCATACTCTGATATCCTCTCTCTCACAAGGGCACTTTATTATCTCGGGCAAGCTGATACCATGCTGACTTTCACCAAGGATGCTAATTGAGATTTGTCGTTGCTGTTCTTATCACGTATCTGACACATCTCTGGCTCTGTCTATTCACCGTGATCTTCCTCTTTCGTGGTAGTTTCACCAAATGTCTGTTGGTCCCTGGTTGTTCACTGATTTATGAGAGAAATCACCCGTTGGCTGGGAGAGGCAGCTAGGGTAGTTTCTCTGGATGCACAGATCTGTCCCTCAAAGTCTCTGCCCTGAATAGGACATCTGTCTGGAATGATGCCTTTATGCTTTCCTTTTCTGGAACTTATCTGGACTAAATGGTCTCTAGCCCCTTACCCCTCTGAAAAGCTTACGCATAGACAAATGAGGGAACAGATCAAAGAAAGGGAGTAAATAATCCATCCCAAAGTATCATAAAATATAAAAACATGTGTCTTATAATAAAGAATTAAAAATGAGATATTTTAAATACTGAATATTAGGTTAGAGGTATAGTATTATGATTTATAAGAAATAGACATTTTATCATCAGAGGATGAAAATATTTTTTCAGGGGTGCCTGGGTGGCTCAAAGTGTCCGAATTTGGCTCAGGTCATGATCTCACAGTTAGTGGGTTCAAGCCCGGAGCTGGGCTCTCTGCTGACAGCACAGAGCCTGCTTGGGATTCTCCCTCCCTCCCTCTCTCTCTCTTTCTCTCTCTCTCCTTCTTTCTCTGCCCCTCCCTATTTGCACTCTCTCTCTCTCAAAACAAATAACTTTTTTAAGAAAGTCCTTTAAAACTACTACTAATAAAAGATAAATGGATCACTTAAGTAAAAACAAGAACTATTACCAATTTTATAACACAAATAAGGACATGTTAAAGAAGGAATTAATTTTCAATGGAATATAAATTCTCTAGGTAGGAAAGCATACTTTTATGTATTTTTAGAATTTCAATTTCATTAAAGATTCATTTCGTGTACCTTCTCAGCTGACCCTAAAAAATGAAAGATTTGTTTGTTAGCAGGAAATTTTTGCCAGATCGTAAAGAGTTAAACAGTTATGGTTTGTCTTTACCTAAGGAAGCAGACTTCTTTTTCAGGAACCTTGCTTTGTGGTGATCTGGAAACACCTCGCCCTGCAATGTAAGAACAGGTATTGAAGCAGATGACACATCTGTACCCAGATAATGGAGCCACCATCTCGTGGGGTGGGGTGTGGGGTGGCACTCAGGTATTCATGGCAAGACTCAACATCTGCGAAAATGAAACAAGTCGGGAGTTACTGAAGCATGTCTTGGATTGGAAGCAGTAGAATACATTATTCTTTAAGACTTTCATTGTTGGGAGGCAAATGACCCCGCAGCTTAGGCACAGAAGAAAGATTCACCAGGGTGTGTCTGATACCATTCCATTTGGAGAAAACATCATGGTCAGGAACGCCAAAGGGCCAAATAACATGCATTTTGTGAAACTTTTCAGCCTACCAAGATCCTGACCGTGTTTGGAGCATTTTCTGCTTTATTCCTCTTCTTTCCATGCAGGTATGGGAACTGAAGAGGAAAATCATGTGAATAAAAAGCAACAGCATCTCCTTTGTGGAAGGATCAGTCACCAAGGTTGACCCTCCGGCTTGCCCTGCAGGGAAATAAACACCAAAGCATGAAGGTGGCGGGAACACGGAAGTTCTGAGAACACGGAGAGAGAAAGCGTTCAGTGTGGGGCGTGCAGGCTCAGTGTGCTCCGTGCGCAGCCCTGGGCCTGCCCTCACCATCAGCCTGTTGGAACGTGGCTCTGCATGATGTGGACTTGCCCAGGTTGGTTTCTAGCTGTAGCCAAATAAAAGGTTGCAAAATTGGCAAGTGGATACTAAAGACCCTCTCAGACAATCATCAACCGGGTTGTTACTCATGCTTCCCGGGTCATTTCTAAGACACAGGGACAAACCCAAGGTCATGAAGATTTACCCCTGCTTTCTTCTGAGAGTTTTATGATTTTAGTTCTTATATTTAGGCACGTGATCCATTTTGAGTTAATTCTTGAATACGGTGTGAGGGGTGTGCAAGGTCATTTCCCTGTGGATGTCCCCTTGTCCCAGCACCATTTGTTAAGGAGACAATTCTTCCTCCATCAAATTATCTTCAGCCTAGTTGTCAAAAATCAACTAGCTATTGGGGCGCCTGGGTGGTTCAGTCGGTTAAGTGTCCGACTTCAGCTCAGGTCATGATCTCCTGGTTCATGGTTTCCAAGCCCTGCTTTGGGCTCCATGCTGATAGCTCGGAGCCTGGAGCCTGCTTTAGATTGCGTGTCTCCCTCTCTCTCTTTGCCCCTCCCCCTCTCACACTCTGTGTGTGTGTCTCTCTCAAAAATCAACATTAAAAAACATTTTTTAAAATCAACTAGCTGTAAATGTGAAGATTTCCTTCTGGACTCTCTGTTCTATTCCATTGGTCCATATGTCTATTCCTATGTCAGCCCCCCACTATTCTGTCTACTGTAGCTTTGCAGTAAGTTTTGAAATCTGTTAAGTGTGAGGTCTCTAGCTCTGCTCTTCTTTTTCAAGATTGCTTTGACTATTTGGGGCCCCTTGCAATGGTGTACAAATAAGTAAATTGGACTTAGTCAAAATATGTGCAACAAAGAGCATTATCAAGAAAGTTAAAAGACAACATGCACAGTGGGAGAAAATATATATTCTGACAAGGACCTAATAGAAAGAATATATAGAGAACACTTATAACTGAATAACAAAAAAGAAAACAAATCAACTGAAAAATGGACAAAGGGCTTGTATAAACATTTCTCCAAAGAAGTTCTATCAATGGCCAAGAAGCACACGAAATGATGCTCAACACCATTTGTCTCCAGGGAAAACGCAGATCAGAGCCACACTGAGCCCCTACTGCATGCCCAGAAGGATGACTACTCTCCAAAATCAAAGCAAAAGACAGAAGAAAAAAGCAATCAGAAAATAACAAGTGTGGGGATATGAACAAATTAAAACCCTTGTGCATTATGGGTAGGGATCTAAAACAGGGTAGCCACTGTGGGAAAATTCAACACAGAATTACCATATGACTCAGCAGTCCACTTCTGGGTGTATCTCCCAAATAACTGATATACAATTGATATATAGATCTATAATTAAAATAATTGAAAAGGTACTTGCACATCCACGTTCACAAAAGCACTAATCACTACAGCCAAAAGGTGGAAGCAAACCAGTGTCTGTTGAGATGAATGTATAAACAACACGTGGTCCATCCACACAATGGAACATCGTTCAGCCGGAAAGGGGAAGGGAGTTCTGTCACCTGCTACAGCGTGGATGAACCTCAAGGACATTATGCTGTGTGAAATAAGCCAGTCAGGAAAGGACAAATTCCACAGGATTCCACTCAGATGAGGTCCCTAGAGTAGTCACATTCCCAGAGTTGGAAAGTAGCGTGGCATGCGCCAGGGCTGGGGGTGGAGGGAGTGGAGACATAGTGTTTGATGGGGACAGAGTTTCAGTTTGGGGAGGTGAAGAATTCCATGGATGGATGGAGGTACGATAGCATGAACATGTTTACGGTCACTGACTCGTGCACCTGAAATTGGTAGATTTTCTGTTACGTGTCTATTATCACAACAAAAATATATGAATGTAAGTGAAAACATTTTTGGCAACAACAAGGTCACTAATAAAAGACCACACTCCTGACATGAGTACAATCGCCAGCAAGTGGCAGGTCACACAGCTTTGCTCCTTTCTCGTCCACATCCCTCAGTAGAAGCAAAGTGTCCAATCAGATCTGACAACACCAAACAAAAATCTAATTTTGCACCTACCATTTGCACCTACTTCCTGGCCCTAATTATATACTGCATTACAGGGAACGTTCAGCATCACCATTAGCCAGGGCATTGAAAACCCAGCCCAGCCCAGTAGACTGAGCCACCCAATATGGGAGCCACTCCGCAGGTGAGCTTCTGCCACTCTGAAGGGAGGCTTCCCGCACTGGATTTTGAGGACTTAGTATAAACAAGAATGTTAAATTCACAGTGATTGTGATATTGGTATAACTTAAAATGTTATTTCTTATACATTGGGTACAGTAAATTACTTAAATTAACTTCACTTATGCCTGTAGTTTTTAAAATGTGGTTACTTTGGAAAATGCAAAATGACATATGTGGCTCACATTGTATACTTACTGGAATAGAATGCTCTAGAACGAGCCCCTATATGTTTTTTTAGCAAAGCTTACCAACACGTTATAATGAATGCAATGCGTCACAAAATGCAAGTACATGTGATTTTTTTAGAAAATTCTTAGAACCCTCTTCTAATTAACCGTGAAAACCAAAAAGCCACAATCCAGAAAAAATGTCTATTTTCCTGCTGTGGCAAAGTAGATAAAATAACACACCAAAGTGCAGGTGACAAACTAAAATGCATTCCTTCTCTGAATCCTATAGATAGATAAATAGAAAGTAATGCTTCAGGTTGGAAGAAACCAATATTTGAAGTTCCTCAGAAGAGAGATTTGCAGCAGTTGATAAACAGTACAAATGTCTCAAACACGCTTTACAGTGCAGCCCTGATTGGCTGGAATGATTCTCTCTCGATAATAAGCTACTTTGTCACATACATTCTTCTCTCAGTGTTTGTTAGTTTGTTGGAGGTCGCTCCTCACCCCTTCTCCCCGCTGGCTTCACTCACCAGCACGTCAATGCACCCAGCCCATCACCAGACTCAGCGCAAACTCGCAGAGCTCGCTGAATGATTCTCTGCTGTGGGAATACATTTTGGTGAGCCAACTAATGAAAATCGATGAATCGATGAAACACAAATGAATTCTTTAAGGAAACAAAATCAAGTTTTGAAAAAAAATCTACGTAAGAGTACCCACTCATAGGCGGGCAGTGCCAACCTTTCAAAAGGGTCTGTGGTAACATTACAGAGACGGAGCCGGAGGCGTACAAGTTACTGTATCATTCAGGAAGTGCTGACAGCAAGAAGTTTAAGCCAAGAGTGGGCAGGAGCTACCAGATATCATGCGTTGGGATATTTTATTTTATTTTTTCAATTCACCTATTTCATCTACTCCCCTACCCACCCCCCACCTCTGGGCAGTTTGTTCTCTGTATTTTTGAATCTGTTGCTGTTTGTTCAATTGCTTTGTTTTTCAGATTCCACATATAAGTGAAGTCACATGGTGTTTGTCTTTCTCTATCTGACTTATTTCGCTCAGCATCACACCCTCTAGGTCCATCCCTGTTGTATCAAATGGCAAGATCTCACTCTTTTTTATGGCTGAGTAGTACTCCATGGTCTATACACCATATCTTCGTAGTAAGTCATCTGTCCATGGACACTTGGGTTCCTCCAGCGTCTTCACTCTTGTAAATAAGGCTGCAACGCAGCGGTGCATATATCGTTCTGAATAAGTGTTTTCATTTTCTTTGGGTAAATACCCAGGAGTGGAATTACTGGGTCATATGGTATTTCTATTTTTAATTTTTTGGGGAAATGCCATGCTGTTTCCCACTGTGGCCGCACCAGTGTGCATTCCCACCAGCTGTGCATAGAATTTCTTTTCTCCACAGCCTCGCCAACATTTGTTATTTGTCTTTTTCATTTAGCCACCCTGACAGATGTGAGGTGACATTTCACTGTGGTTTTGATTTGTATTTCCCTGATGATGAGTGATGATGGGCATCTTTTCATGTGTCTGTTGGCCATCTAAATGTCTTCTTGGGTAAAATGTCTATTCTGGCCCTCTGCCCATTTTTAATCAGATTATTTGGGTTTTTTTTTTTTTTTTTGGTATTGGTTTATATAAGCTCTTTACCTACTTTACATATTAACCCATTATTAGATATATTATTTGCAAATATCTTCTCCCATTCACTAGATTGCCTTTTTATTTTGTTGATGGTTTCCTTTGCTGTAAAAGAAAGCTCTTTATTTTCTTGTAGTCCCAATAGTTTATGTTTGCTTTTGTTTCCCTTGCCTGAGGAGATCTACCCATAAATATGCTGGTATGGCCAGTGTCGAAGAGATTACTGCCTGTGTTTTATTTTAGGAGTTCATGGTTTCAGGTCTCACATTTAGGTCTTTTACTTCTTTGAGTTTATTTTTGTATACGATATT